AATCAAAATGCAATATCATCAGTTATTGTGTTCGGGGAGCTGGTCAAATGGTCGTGCGCAGGACTTCGTTTGCCGAGGTCACGGGTTCACATCCCGACAATCATCAATGGATTTGATCTAAGTGACAATGCCGCAACCCATGAAGTAATATGAAAAACTATTCAGGGCTAGAGCACAGGGTCCTAGGACCAAAAATTATGCTCTTGTAAAACCGAAAAATAAGTATTAAAATATTAAATACGATTATCGTGTGAACGATTAAATATTTATCAAACATAGTAATTTAAAAATTTCCACTAGTTTGTTTGATTACAAGTCAAGAACTTAACTTAAATCTTACTCCAAAGTTCACTTTGACCCTCCAAACTAAATATCGTTGAATAATTCATACAATAAAATTGCAACATCAGTTCCAAATGATAAACTAACTATATTATTTTTAAGCTAATTAAACTATACACAATTGTGTTAAAAGTACTGAGTACAATAATGGCAGATAAATCAATATCGTGTTAATAACCTACATCGATAGTTTCAGAGCTTCATAAAGCTATTTAAGACGAAGTAGGTTAATTGAGTTTGAAAAGCTCTGAAGTTGTCAAGGGTCAAGAGAGAAGGTCAAGTCCCGACTCAGATGGAACACAATGAACTGAACAGGCTTCTTCAATGCTTCCGAAATAATGTAAAATATTGCAGTCAATTTAGTAACCACCCCCACCGCAGAAAACCCTGCAGAGTAAGAGAATTCCCATTTGTGTAATTGGATTTTCATCCCCTATTTATAAAAATATTAGGTTATTAGGTGTTATGAGTACTTAGGTTATTTTATTTTTTTCCTACGCCCCCATTGGTATTTTGGCTTAACACTGTCAGGGGAAAGCGGTCAAAACTTATTAAAGTAGTTTTGATGAGCCGAGAATCGAACCCTTCTCTCCGCACCGACGTCCGAGACGCTGACCACTGGGCTAGCGACGCACTTGCTGCCCACCTTGGTTTGGTGCTAGAGAGAATGTAGATAATAACTTCTCCTTAGTGTATACCTAAGTGTGTTTTTGGTAAAAACTTAATAGCTTAGTATGTAATAATCAAATTGGCCAACTTTGATAAAAATAATAATAATAATAATACGAGTAAGGTTTGCACACAATGATTTTAAAACGGATCCTATGATTTCCTCCAAATTGTTAGAAATATCTTAGTTTTAGGCTAAAAACAATATCCATGCTAGGCTCTGTTCTGGGAAGATTCGTGTTTCGTTAAAAACTTATAATGAATTTGTATTTTTTTATGTCCGTTTTACGAAAATGTAAACAAATGAATTGTAACATATGCTTGTAACAAATAATCTACAGTACAGTAGCAAATTACAAAATTCAGTACAAAGGACTTTACTATGAATGTGAGCATTGATTATATAATTAATTTGGGGTGTATGATGTATTACTAACCAAAGGGATAATTACGACTGTTCAAAAACGTAAAGTCTTTTACCGCAAAACATTTTACATTAATATTGAACTAAAAGTCTAGAGGAAAGGCCAAGGACCTGTTGTAGTTTTCGACGATGCACCGCTGAAATTAATGCGTTGTTCCACAATCCCGTAATTAGTTGCAACGTTCTTCGATCCCAGTGACTAATGCAATATCAAACAACAGTTATGTATCATGCGTTTTTACATTGAAGTTTATGTAGACATTTTTAATATAGATTGCTCGTCCACATGAAAAAGTTTGTTAGGTAAATTAAGAATGAGCGAGGTCAGCATAACTGAAAATATTTGTAATCTTATGTTTTATTTTTTAACCTCTTGAACAAATAAAACACCTCGAGCAATGCTCAGTCCCCTGGTACTATTCATAAACATGAAAACTAAAACAGTTTATTTATTCTCATTTAGATTAACATGGGCATTAGTTTTTTTTTCTATTTTTACCGTAACTATTAACTATACTAAAACATTGTAACATACTGTATAGTTAATATTGCAAAATGGTTTATAGAGAAATTGGGTAATAATACTAAGGTTTAAAAATGATTCATCCCAATTTTCACCCCGTTTCCATAGTCCAATCGTGCTGGTCCGTAAACGTAGGTTTACACGTTTGGGATAAATCTCGAGAAAATAGGATCATTTTTACTTAGAAAAACAGTATTCCTTATATAAAAAATTCGCTACACATTTGTCATTTCATACCAGGGGCTTCACATGACCATTGGTATGAACCCAGAGTTAAACTATTCCTTAAAACCACTGGATAATACACCTTGATAATTACTCATTGCTAATTATAGGACACTAAATATTTACCCTAATATACGAAAAAATAAATGTAAACACCTCCACCACAGCAAACCTGCAGACTAAGCGAATTTCAATTTGTCTGATTTGAGTTTCAATTAAATATTTCAATAACAGTATGTTTAACGAGTACCTAAGTTTGCTGCTACAGGGAGTGTAAAGTGTGTTTTAGTAAAATATTAATAGCATAGTATAAAATAGATAAATTTGCCAAGTGTCACCAAAATATATCCATAACAGGAAACTACAACAGTTTACTTATTCTCCATAATAATAACATAGGAATTTTAAATTTAAAGTTTTTTGAAATCTCTACGTAACCAATAATCGTACAAAAACATTTGAATATACAAAATTATTTTTGTTAAGCTCTTCAAAATGGTTTAGAGAGAAATTGGGATTTTTTATTTACTCCCATAAACCCCCGTTTTCATGGTCCGGTCACGCTGGTTTGCAAACTTTTCGAATAAACGTAGATTTACACGTTTGTACCAAATGACATCGAAATTGGAAAATTTTTTTGAGTTATCGTCTTACTGGACATATATTACTACAGTATAGATATATATGAATTTGAACGGATGGTGTTTTTGGGGTCTGGGTACATCAAAACGAAAAAGTAAATTGGTCCTAGGTTCAGCACTTACACTGAGACCTACGGTAATAGCTTATTCCCTATATGGGAAATTCGCTAAAAAGAAACATAACAACACAGACTTATTTTTCTTAAACTTATTATTGTAACTGTAAAACACGAGATGCACAACATGAAGGGAAGATCGGGAATGATATAGCATCTTTTCTAGACATACATTGAACCGTTTCCCAAAAATGTATATGATGGACGGTTTGAATGATAACAATCTAGATATTTACGCGTCTAATGTTTGAAATATAAATTCACAAGAGCCATGTGGATTTGAAGGTTATTTACAGTTTTCCCACCAAACTACATATTTATTTACTCATATTAGACGACCTATCCAGAGATGTGTTTTTTTGGAAGTAAATAAGGTGAACTACTGTGTGGCCTTAAAAAATAAGTTAGTGTATTTTGTACGACTCGAAAATCCACTAAATGCCACAATTATGTAAAGAGAACATATTTATCACACGTTTATATTATATAAAAAATATATATGTATGTGGTTCTCAGCTGTTAAGTAATACGAGAGCACGCCCCGTGGTCGAAAAATCGACCAAAAGTATGTTTTGTGCAAACTTCTCTATTTTCACCCCACACTGTAAATAAAACATGCGATTGGAAGGTCTTCCATTTGTTTTGATTTTCTGTTTATATTTTGTTGTTATTTCGTCATCACCATAGCAACCCATAAGACCCATGTTAATTTTTAAAAATTTCAAATTCATTTTTTGTGCTTATTTTTGAACCTATTTTAATTTATAAACGGATTCTGCACACCTACAGGAAAATAGCTTTCTAACGGTATGCGTAGATTTTCCCTACGATACACACGAGCTGAGAAAAAAGGTTTTAAAGAAACATGCTTGCCTATTAATAATATATATAGATAGATAAACGTCACGTCGTTAGAAATTTATAAATAATCATTTACCATGTGCAATTCTAGCACAGCGAGAATATTTGCAATAAAATTCAATAAAAAAGCCAAAGCGTGTTTGTCTTTGTACATTTTAGCTCATGCAGGGGCTTTACTGATTTAATCTTACTACCCCATCAAGCATTTACAAGGACTGTTGTGATTTGACGCATGACCACAAACAATTAGTGGTTTTTACATGCTAATGTTTCATTCAAAACTACAATTAGTTCCACGAATGGGTTTAGAGATTAATTTACATAATAAATAACTGCATTCATTTCATTTGTTCACTTCTTGATTTACATACCTTAACCCATTAAAATTGACCTTGCATTTATAGTCAAAGATTACACATGTACAGGTCTAAAATTATTGCTGAAAAAATAATTATTGCAGCAAAATGGCAATCAGCAGGGATTAAATTAATTTATAAAACTATACTTCTAAGAGATAGATAAGAAGAAGAACAAATTAAAACTCATGTCATTGAAGACGTGCGGTGCAATTAATTGTGAGAAAGAAAAAATCGAGGGTTTTGATAAAATAAGTTTATTTTACGAGAGAAAAATGAGTACGTGTTCTTATGAGAGGTGATTCGCGGTGAATTAATACAACAATGGGGATTTACATTATGATCATGTGATGGGATTTACAGACAGACAGTGAGGAACAAAGCATTTAAAATTATAAAAAAGACAACTTGACTGACCACGTTTAGTTACATTAAGTAAAAGCATTGACTATTGGATACAGTCAAAGGTAAAAGTAAGTTTTGTTTAGGAAGTAAAATATTCTAATTCTCATTTTCATATAGTTTTTGATAAGTCCACGTGCCAAATTAAGTGACAAAATAAGTATCCCCAAATTACGGAGGAATAATTGATTTAAAACAAACAAATATTACAATTTTAACAAGTTTCTTACAACACGTTGTTTTACATAGTTTAAGTAGATTAATGGCAATAGTTGTTTTGAAAAGTAGAACTGTACATATCTAAAAACTCTTGCTGAATAAAGACCTTTTATTATTATTATTCACGTGGTAAAGAAATGTGTACAATCAATGTTATGACATACATTCCAGCGGACGATGCATCATTCAGATATCCAGGTGGCAAAGAGTATGACGAGATTTATAAATAAAGTAGTGGAATCGGAGGGGAGAATCGCAGAACCTTTACTTCCGCAGACATGGTAAGTATCTAACCACACTTTAAATGTATTACTGTAGTACAAATCTGTTACTAAATTATATGTAGACATATTTAAATTCAGCTAAGGTTGATGAAGACAAATGGTTCATTATGTTACAATACCAGTGCATTGTAACTGTAGATAGAATTTAACAGTTTTCGTAACCTAACAGTTGGTTGCAAGTCATATCTAATAAAAACTCCTTTGTATTGCTGAAAAAATATTAGGAATTTTAATCATTACGCACAACCACATCAGACAATTTTAACATCAAAATGTCGTTTATTATTTACTTTTTGGTGCTTATTGATTAGTAAATTCCACAAAAATAGTTTTAACAAGTGCAGTATTTTTATCAAAACAGTACAAATACTATCCCACCCTGTACTTACATATGTCTATTCGAAAACTGTACTTCACAATGGGTATGTGAAATGTGTATGTTGGAGGTCGTTCAATATTTGAATTCGTGGACACTTAATGAATAGTAAATATATCGTTGAAAATTTCAAAATATATGATGATTCGTCGATTTATAATATTCTATACAGGGTGTCCAGCTTCGGACTAGGACAAACATTACCAGATAATTCGGGAGGTCAAAACAAGCAAAAAATTCAATACAACATGTGTCCTCTCTCAAGCAGTTTAGCGTCTGTCTGTCTGTATGTGCTTTTTACAAAGACTTTCATAACTCGGTTTGGGTTATAACATTGAAATTCAGCAAATATGTTTATCGTTTTGCCCAATCACTTTGTGTAAAATATCAATAAATGTATAACAGTTTCAAAATGGTGGTTACTTTTTTTTCAAAGCTTAATATATTAAAAACTATAAATTTTGTTTTTACTTTTTTTATTTTACTCAATACCAAAAGTTGCATATTCTATTTACTAAAAGAATTAAGTGTAAAAGAGTTAAGTGTACGTAAGTGTAAAGATTGTTAAGCTTGGGCTATTATTAACTGAGAGGTTGCTGTTTTTGTAAACATATTTGCTGAATTTCAACGCTATAGTTAAAATTCATTCCCTTAAGGAGTTATGAACGATTTTGTAAAAATCACAGACAGACAGACGCTAAACGGTTTGAGATTGGACACATGTTGTATTGCATTTTTTGCTTGTTTTTACCTCCCGAATTATCTGGTAATGTTTGTCCTAGTCGAAGCTGGGCACCCTGTATTTTAATTAGTCCTATTGATATAAATACCACGTAAAGAAAACTAGCAATTAGAAAATATGGTAAGTTTATGATTACAATAATGCAGATCATTGTATCATTATAACATCGTTCTAATCGTTATGTTTGAAATCAATAATATCGAGTAATATATTTGAGTAATAATATCAATAATATATGTAGTATTGATAACAATATTACAGATTTTTCAATACATCTAACTCGATAGAAGCGTACGGTAGATATTACAATAATCTAGTAATATTCGCAATTAAATGTATTTTCGATTATAGGCGAATTCACGTATTCTCAAACATAAATTAGAAGCAAAAATCAACCAAATAACTGTAGGTAATGTGTTTTGTACAATGTTTAGGATCAAAGATCTTTCATAAAATAAATGTTTTTAAATGTTTAAACGTGTTTTTTTTCAGGACAGTGACGAGGAGAAAATGCGTGGCAAGTAAAAATATTTTAAAATATAACACTAACACTATAATTTAAATCAAACCCTGAATTTTATGAAAAATAAATTAAGTTGTAAAGAAACTTCTACCTCTAATTATAATGACTGTATACTATATTCTCAAATCTCAGTTATCCTACTAATATTATAAATGAGAAAGTTTGGATGTATGAATGTATGGGTGGATGGATTTATGGATGGATGTTTGTTTGTGACAAATAAACTCGAAAAATACTGGTCAAATTGGCCTAAAATTTGGTGTAATGATAGCTCACATTCCCGATTAACATATTCTTATTTCAAAAATCCTTTCGGGCTCTGCCCCAGTGGTTCTGGTGTTCCCCATGTAACTACTATGAGTATTCATATTTAAAAGGAACAAAAGAATTTTGTCAGCTGTTTCCATTACACAAATTGGTTCTATTAAATAGCTTTAACAAGTTATAAGGTTTACCAACAAGCACTATTATTTTTTCATTTACGACAACAGCTAATTTGAACCAACTAGCAACAAAAAGCAGTGAAAAATGAGAATTTCACTTTTTTATTGTTTAGGTACAGTGGTAGAACACCTATGGCTATGGTAGATGTGCTATACTATAGCATACCGTATTTTCTTAAACCGTGTCCTCTTCCATTGCAAACGCAAAGCACGAGTATAGCTGCAGCAATAAGCATTTTATACTTATACGCCAACCCCGTACGAAGGACGGGTACTCTGCTAGTAATCTATAACCGAATTGTAAAGAGTTTTTTTAACTAATTTAGAAAAAAACACATAACATAGAAAATTGCTAATAGAATTGTCTATTCTTTTTTGTTACTACATTATTAAGTATTTACGAAAGTTGTGTAAGAAGATTTAAACTGTATCATCTTCTGTACTTTTACTGACATATTTTAACTTACAAACCCCTTTTGAAAGCAGCTTCTACGTCATTTTTACGTTTAAAAAACTTATGAAACTTATGGCCATGGCACTGATGGGCTATCAATTTATCAAATTTATTATTATTGAAACACATTGAAATAGTGAATGATTTTAATGAAATATTTAATATTTTTAGACTCAGTACAATGATTTAAAAATGGCGTATCTTAAAAAATAATAGAATTTTGATGTATTTGACAAGATGATAATACATAAACAGTTGCGATTTTAAAGTTCATGATGAAATGAAATAAAAATCCTTCTTTATTGAGTCGAACTTAAAATCTCATGGTCCTTTCTTACAGTTAACCTCATGATTGCAATGAATGATTGATTTAATTTTCAGGTTAAACGGCGACATCCACCGGTTAGGCTAGGTTGTTAGGCTTAGGTAAATATAATTTAGTTATAGGGCCACTGGAAAATGGAAGGCGTTTCATCTCAAAACGTTGTGTAGTTTAAAAAATAGCGAAGGGAAAAAGGCTTGATTTTTTTTAAGCCAAAGAGGTGTAGGTAACCTACTTCCAGGAAGAGTAACTAACTTTACAGCCATATTCCAAGTAAACTTTGGGAATTGTTTCAACATAACAGTAAAATAAAACAATACCCCCGCCGCAGCATATCAGTTGACTAAGCGAATTTCCATTTACCTGATTGGATTTACACTAAAATGTCTCCTTAAAAATATCAAATTTATAAAAAAAAACATTAGTTTAACGAGTACTTAGGTTTGCTGCAACAGGGAGGGTAAAAATGTGTTTTTTGTAAAAAGTTTAGTTTCGTATGAAATGAATGCATTTTCTAAACTTGATCAAAATATGCTCATAAACAAGCAAACTACAACAGTTGACTTTTTCTCCATAAGAATAACATGGGAATTTTAAATTTACAATTTCCTCCGTAGCCACGTTTGTACCAAATGTAATCAAAATCTGATAATTTTTGCTTTAGTTATCGCGCTAACGGACGAATTTGAACTAGAACCACCAAAACGGACAAGGAATGGAACTTGAAAGTGTGATCGTCATGAAATAGTTCCTCTGAAATCGGAGAAGTATGATGTCACGTATGGCTCCTATATACCTCTCAAGAACCAAGACCCTCAAGACCCTGACTAACAGTAGTGTTGTGTTGACAGTGATGCGCAAGGCGTTTCAACTCTGTGACGTCAACAAATCCGGTTTCATAGAGACAATCAAGATCAGCGGCATCCTGACCACCATAGGACAAGTGTTTGACGAATCTGAGCTGGAGGAGGTCATAGAAGAGGTCGACCCTGAGCGTCAGTATTGCCAACTCTATTGATTTTAGTTCTATTGATTAGGTGGTTGGTTATTACAAATTGTTTGGTACTTTCTACTTTCATTTGGAAGAATTAAAGAAGTTCGTTCCACAATATAAAATTGCAAAACAGACACTCCGTGTTATCTACTGTATTCGAAGATTAACTTGTTATGCAAAGATTCTATAATGCTCTCTAAAGTAAAATGGTTGTTTACAAAAATACATCAATCTGGGGAGATCCAAGGCTCCCAACTACAAAATACAAAACTTTAGAAGTTATGTATAGTAACTATGTTAAGTAATTTATATTAATTTTTCTTACTGGAATGTAACAAAGCAAACACATTTAGAACATCCACACATAAAGTAGGAAGGTAGTTTTACCAATTAAGAAATTAGTTTCTATCTCTCAAAAAGGTTTACAGAGGAGTATGATATTCACATATTCCTTTCCCCTCCTACCGCCTCCTTTCTCCTCCTACCGCTTCCTTTTACCCTGCCCTTCAAGTTTTCCACTAAACACATTTTCCATTATTTGTCACTAGTCTCCTAAATAATAAGTGCTGTTGACCGCCTCAATCCTTCTCACTGGTTACAATGCAGTTTTTCTCCGCACAGATATCAAATTGACTACAATGAGTTAACTGTTTGTGTCTTAGTTAATCTAGCCTAGTCTCACATTGCCTTTACAAAATGTTTATGTAGATGTGAAATTTATTTTAATTATCAGTTACAGCATCTAGAGTTGACTATAACGTGTTTGATTGATTTTGTTGACACTGAACAGTTTTCAGTAGGGTTTTTACTCGGGGAAGTTCAATTAGGAGGATACGTGGGTATTCAAATTGTAAAAGAAAACTATGAAGAATGTATTTTTATACAATAAACATATTAATGTTCACATAACCTATATTAAATTGAAGCAAACGAATGGACGAATCTCATATAAACTTGTGTGTATCTGCAAAACTATTATATGAACCTTACCAATAAAATCCCGATAATGTTCCTACTGCTAATAGTTTTACCTTCGGGGACATAAAAACATAGATCACGGACAATTAAAGGAATTAAAATCTATATATTTATTTAATTGGCTAACATGAATTTTGGGATTGTTTTAAAACTGTCACGCAACCGATCCAAGGTCCAAGGTGTCATTAGATTGGTCGTGGCGTGTTAAAGTTATTAGATATTTATAAAGCTTAGTGTATAATCTGTAGAGGTAATATTAATATTTTATTTTTATTTTACAGTAACAGGGAAGGTAAACTTTGACCAGTTTTGTGAAATAGTCTCACACTTCCTAGAGGAGGAAGATGCGGACGCGATGCAGGCGGAGCTCAAAGAGGCCTTCAGACTCTACGATAAGGAGGGTGAGTCATGAATCATCTTCAAACTTAAGGGTTGTCATCAAAGTTGTCACCATTTACCATAATGTTTATTTTCCACATCCTCTACAGAAAATGATTACTTTGGGATCCACATAAAAAAAACATCCAGTCATTTTGTAATTAATGGACCTGCTTATCAAAAAGTACACTTTTTTTAATGATCTTTTGGGGTGGCTTAACAAATTTGAGCCGGGCAGTCACACGATTAACTTCTTGCCTTGCAATCTGTATGCTATCAGAATCAGCGCTCCTTAAAGTGGATTTTGATTGTTCGAAACTGAAGCTAGTTCTTCAGCATTGGGGTGCAATGCTGACATTAAAAACACAGCCGGTTTTAAGGCAGTATTAAAGAGACACAAGGCATCATAGGCCTACTCAATTTCACACTCATCCTCCACTCATAATTGGGATGATTATTATCTTGAAGGACTAAATGTATTCCTTGTAACTTCGCAGGCAACGGATACATCACAACACAAGTTCTAAGAGAGATTTTAGCAGCGCTAGATGACGCTCTGAAACCAGAGGACTTGGACGGGATCATCGCTGAGATAGATACTGACGGTTCTGGCACCGTGGACTTTGATGGTGAATATTTCCAAGTTTTTATTAACTTTGGTGAACAGAAGTAAACATTCGCATCCATATAGACTAGCTCTTTGATTAAAACTCACACTCACTTTTTGATTAAAAAGAACACAGTCGAGCCACTCACGGAGTGTGTTGCAGTCAAAATTATATTTCTCCTTTAGTCGTTGTACCATAATAGTCGGAATAAATAGTATTTTCAGTTTTCTTGGTTAAAAGTCCGTAAAAAGGCGTATTCGACAAGTGTTTAACCTACAAGAGTACATCATTAGTTGTTCGTTCAATATCGCTTTCAAACACCTTGTTAAAAAAAAACAATTAAACAATTCAACCACAGAGTTGGCTGTTTTGATATTTAAAAGAGAAAAAAACAAAGTAAATGGCATTCCTTACATACATTGCACCCCGTTTTAATTTGGAAAACTGCTATTCGTTCTCTGGGAAACTGTGTTGGTAAAACAAACTTCCGATTGTATAAATCCGCTAGTAATTGAACTCGCGTGTTTCCAAAGTCACTGTGCACGGTTGTAAATCTTTGATGAATGTTTATATTTAAGTATAATAACCCCTCTACAAGAAGTGGGTTGTTTGTGTTGGGTGTGTTTCTAGCCTAGTGGTTAGCGTCTCGGACTTCGGTGTGGGAGGGACGGGTTCAATCCCCGGCACTTCCACCAAATTTTAATGGGTTTGGACCGCTTTCCCTTATATTAAAAGGGTTTGACTTCATTACAAAAATGCCACTGGCGTAAATAAGAACAAAAAAAGAAGTGGAGGTGATATGTTCATGAATATCTTGTAGATAAAATATAAAAGAATCTTTATCTTCTTAAAATTATCACTGTTTGCTTACGATACCTCCCTTTCCATATCTAGCTCCAATCTTTACAATCTGGAACAATTATCTTTTTGTGAAGAAAATGACTTAACTCAATGGTTTGACAACTTACTAAAAATTAACAAATGTAAATTTTCTAGGGTTGATAGGGTTGGTCTTGAACGAGAGACTTAGTTTCTGCAGTCATGTCAAATACATTTCAAGTAAACTCAGTTCTGGAATTTCCGTTTTACGCAATCTCAAAATCTAGAATCTCGCAATCTTAAAAATGTAGATGTGCTGCTAACCGCTTTTTATGGGCTCATTTATCCCCATCTATGCTGTTGTAATTTGAGAGCAAACAAACCGAATTTATTTTCAAAATCCAAAAGATTGCTGTAAGAATTATTTTCTCTTTGCTTATTAGCGCCAGTCCTGCAGATAGTACTTTTGCAATTCAAAAACTTGACTTTTCCCTCCACATTCTAGAATCTTTGACCTTTTTTAAACAAAACTTTTCTGATTTTGACTTCTCTACTAAAAATCAATACACATTGCTCAATTCATTTAACTTTCCAATTCCTTAACCCAAAACATCTTAAAAAACAAAAAAAAAAAAAAAACACACACACACATTGTACATTGACATAAAGCTGTATAACTCGCTTCCATTATCCCTTCAGTTAGAACCAAGCCTAAAAAAAAAACTAAAATAAAAACAGTTAAACCATAAGTTGCGAAGTACAACCTGTTACAGCGTTTAAGAATTCCTGAAATGTTTTCAAAGCTCTAATGCAATTATTGTAAATATTAGAATTATTAATAATTGCTGTATAGTGTCAGTGCTACAGATATACATGTATATGTATATCTATTTCCCTGGTATAGTATAGTGTAATGCAAGTAATGCAAACTATACTATTGTTAATTTGGCACAAAAAAATGATTTGATTTGATCTTAACAACTTTTTATCATCTTAATTGTATGGATTAAATACAAACAATGAATTGAATGCACTGTTATACAAGTGTTACGAAGAAGTAAACGTATTATTTTCCATAATGAATGTTGTCTCTTATTTCAGAATTCATGGAAATGATGACTGGGGAATGAAAAAATGTACAGAATTACTGCTGAGGAGACATTGAGAATGATTGTCGTATGCGACCGGACTACAAAAAATGCTATTAAATACTGCCTTCGCTTAAATATTTTGTTTATTTTTGTCAAATCATGTGTTTAATGATAATAAAATTATTGTTTTTACATAATAATAATAAACATCTTTTTCATGACTCACTTGAATATGTCTCAATACATTACTCCAACTTGTGATTGTTGTTAAGCAATGTTATTATGTGTATGTCACTGTTATTTACTTACACAGACAGATTGTGATTGTATACACTCTCAAACGGACAAATTTGCGCAGTGAGATGATAAAAACGTCAAAAGAGTTGTCGTTCGTAACGACATTATGTGACGTAAAATTTGACTAAACAACTATGGTGTACGATACATCTATGTGTGTAACTAAGACTCAAAAAACATCTACTTTCCTATTTACAATACTATTTACAACACTAAACAAACTTGAAAACGTTGTTTTCGTTGAAAATATTTGGTCAACATTTTGTTTAATTTTGTGTTTCAAAAAATCTCAACATAGTTTAACCATAGACTAACCAACGTTTTATGTAGGCCTATGGTTCAACAAATTACAAATACCAACGTTATTTATTAAGTTATTTATTATAGCAGTACAGCAGTTTAGCTTCAGAAAGTAGAAAAAAACTAATTGTATAAATAGTGCAAAACATGGTGACAGTTATGCTATAATACCTTTCATTTCAGACGACTTAAAATCAATTCGTTTTTTATACTTAAAAATATTAAACATGTTTCCGTAACATAGAAAAACATTTTAGGCGAAGCAGGTGACATCCATCCTATAGTCTTTGCCGTAGACACTCCTTGATGTCAGCGTCATATGGCCCTTGTATTTGAGGGGTATCAAAAGGCATTGATTTTTCGTTTTAAGGACCCTGTAAGAGAACAGGGCCTATCAAATCCTCATTAGAAAATACGGAATTACTTCATAGCCTCCCTATGTAACAATGACCTTTCTGAACCTTACGAATAAAAGTAAAAAGGTTCCTCTCAGTGCGACGAGATCTGCACAAGACTTGGATATCTGTGGGAGATTTAAAGGGTGTGACGTAACGTGGTGTAGGTGACAGCTTCATACAAAAACAAGCAAAACCTTGCTTGAGCAGCTCGTGTTGTCATGGACATACTGTGAAGCGAAAACGTGGTTATTGTTGCAGTAGATAAATAATCACCTGCAAAATTATTCACTCTAACTATTGGCAATGATGGAAAATCGGCTGAATCAACATGATTGTTAAACATTCATACATATTTTTGTGATTTTACTGATTTAGTAATAATAAAATGTATGATCAGATTTTGATCAATCAACTGCAAAGACAGACATAAGTGTTAAATTAGGGGTTAACGCCAATATAAATATTAAAATATTAAAGATTATTTCTCGGATATGACATTTATTTCAACGCTGCGGAGCAGAATGTGTCCTCTAGTCTATCTTACTAATACTATATATCTGAAAGTTTGTGAGTTTGTGTGTATGTTTGTATATATGTTTGTGTGTTGCTCAATCACGCATAAACTACTGGATGGATTGGGCTGAAATTTGGCAAGATGATAGCTCACATTCCCTATTAACATTTAGGTATATTCTTATCTCAAAAATCCTTTCGGGCTCCACCCCAGTGGGTCTGTAGTTCCCCATGTTACCCTTATGAGTATTCATATTTAAAGGGAATTAAAGAATTTAGTCAGCTGTTTCAACTTTACAAGTTGGTTCTATAATATGCAAAAACATTAAAAAGTTATAAGGTTTCCCAACAGGGTGCAGCACTATTATTATTTTGTTTGTGCATATATCCCAACAGCTAATTTGAACTAAGCAGCAACAAAAAGCTGTTATACACAATGAGAACTACTGTCAAATTAGGATTGTTTACAGTTAGGTTTGAGTTTTTAATTTAATGAATAACTTGTGATATTGTAGGAATGTTTGATAATTTATTTTTATCTATTGTTTGGGTGCAATGGTAGAACATTATGGCAATGGTAGATGTGTTATAAAACACAGTACTATATCATACCGTCAATTTATGAACCTAATTTTATCAAACTGTGTCCTCCACCCATTGCAAACGCAAAGCTTGAGTATAACTGCAATAAGCATTTTATACTTATATGCCAACCCCGTACGAAGGACGGGTGCTCTGCTAGTATTTTATAAAAGAGGAAGTTTGTATATCCTACTAATATTATAAATGAGAAAGTTTGGATGTATGGATGTATGTATGTTTGTGACAAGTAAACGTGAAAAATACTGGTTGGATTGGGCTGAAGTTTGGCATGATGATAGCTCACATTCCCGATTTACATACCACCCCAGTGGCTCTGCAGTTCCCCATGTTAACCTTATGAGTATTCATATTTAAAGGGAATTAAAGAATTTAGCCAGCTGTTTCAACTAAAAGAGTTGGTTCTATGATATGCAAAAGCATTAAAAAGTTATAAGATATACCAACAGGGTGCAGCATTATTATTTTTTTCATTATTTATGAAACAGCTAATTTGAACTAAGCAGCAACAAAAAAACTGTGGTACGCAATGAAAACTGTAAAAGTAGGATTGTTTACAGTTATGTTAATTTTTTAATTTCACGAATAATTTGTTATATTTTGTGAATTTTTAATAATCTCTTTCTCTATTGTGAAGGTGAAGTGGTAGAACATAATGGCTATGGTAGATGAGTAATACTATAGCATACCATAAATTTGAGGAAGCAAATTTTCTCAAACCGTGTCTTCTCACATTGCAAGCGCAAAGATCGAGTATAACTGCAATAAGCATTTTATACTTATATTATTATTTTTTTTTTTTATTATTATTATTTCTTTGTCATGAAAGCCGAAGCCCCCTGACTACGTACCCGGTACCTATCGTGAGACATACCCGGGCCCCATGATGTAGGCCGAAGCTTACGCATCAACCTTTAGCACATCATGGGCGGATGACTTAAGGTCATCAGGCTCGCCGGCTGCCGAAGCAGACCCTTCGGAAAGAGGGTTGCCCCTCAATCCTAACCAGGGATTCCGGCTGCTTGTTTAAGCGTCACTCCACCTGGGTTCCACCAGGTACAAGCCCTAGAGGACCATAATGGAGCACCCCGACGCATTTAGTGCAAGCAACACTCGGGACCTATCTAATCCCTGACAGGCAGAACCCGCCATCATAGCCAGAAGGAAGGGGACCGTCAGCACGCTGACGGGGGAACCCCAACCTCCCATTTACACCACTACCCGATCGAGGCCTTACCCAGTTGCTGGGAAACCAGAGATAACCAGAGCGATAGATCCCCAGATACCCCTGGCGGGCTCGGACCCAGCACCCGATCTACTTCGTTTGCCCGTCAGACCCAACATCACTGCCAGGCCATCAGGGTTTCCCAAAAGGAGGCAGGTATAGAAGTGGGACCCACCCGGATGAACCTATCCACCAGAGGTGGCGACACCCTTGACTCAATTGAGGTTCCGGGAAGAACCCCCCACACTCAAGATAACCATACCGTCCGTGCTCAGAGACAGGGATTGGTTTGCATAAGTGCCTACAAACCGTTACCCTCACACTGCGGAAAGTTACGTTGCCCTTGAGTGTCCCCGTGAGCTACGGGTACTTGCCCGTTTTCACCTCCAGGAAAGGCTACTTCCAAAGTCGAGGATTTGCCACACTGAATGCTGGTCGCACACAACAAGCAGGCCGAAACCCAAAGAACCACAGACACAGGTAGGTTAGAGAATATGATGCACTTCCATCTCTCCTAGAGCTAAACACCCCTCCATCCTGGATAAAGGAATGTCACTGGGACCCAATGCCCAGTCGTCCATGTCTGTGGCCTACTTGAAAATGCCGATACCAACACCGAGCAGTTACCTCCCCTTTGGGGGCTTTATACTTATATGCCAACCCCGTACGAAGGACGGGTACTCTGCTAGTGTGTATATATATTTTTGAACGTTATGAGCTCGGACACAGTTGGACCGATTGCCATGAAACTTGGTACATACGTTTAAGGGAAATGGTTAGTTTAATGGAATAGGTTTATACACAATCAACTCCGTGATCCGTCCAAACAGCTCCGCCCCAGTGGCTCTGGAGTTTCCCCATGTTAACCTTATGAGTAATTATATTTAAATAGAATTAAAAAATCATAACAGCTGTTTCAACTAAACAATTTGATTCTGTGATGTTCAATAGCATTAAACAGTTAATAGGTTTACCAACAGGGTGCAGCACTATTAATTGTTTAAATTTATAACAACAGCTAATTTGTACCAAGCAGAAACAAAAAGCTGTGATACATGGAATGGATGGATTTGTTACAGATATGTTTATATAGCCAGTAAATACTAATAGAAAATTAAGAAAAGTCCGTCTACATACTGCAGATCTAGGGAACATTATTATAATTGTTCTCTTTAGCGTTCTCAAGCTGCTTGCCATTATTTTCAAGGAACCAAAATTGTCTCTTCTGCATCCTGGCCCCGTTGTAAGGCACGGGTATAGCGGCTAGTATATTCTAAAATAGGTTAAACTAAAGAAACAACCCGTACGAACAGCTGCTTGTTGGCAACTATTTTTAACCTTACATAGAATAATTTCATAAGCAATTCCACTTGACGTTACAACAATAGCTCCACATGTCCATCGTCAGTTAGACAGCGACCTTCTGGATATTATTAACTGTTGAATATGAAACAGACAGCAACTGTATTGTAGTGGGTTCTGTTCATGTTTAAAGGTAGGTCGCCTGTTCGAGCCTCGAGCACAGTGACTGACATACTGTAGCAGCCATGGTGAGTGTTAGCATATTTGTGTTAGTGTAGAAATATCCTACGGTCAAAATTATACAGGGTATCTCGTAAGTAAAAATCACAACTTCGGGAATAGATTTAAGGGTAAATAAATAGAAACAAGGATTTTCCCTCCAAAACGCTACGTTAAACAGATATCAGCCATTTTGTATTTTTTACAAACACATTTTTATTTATAAATTCATCCTACCGAAAATCATTATGAAAATTGACATTGTATTTAAGTAGTGCTGATAAGGCGCACCCTGACTAGCTTAGCCTTATTTTGATAAGTTTAAAAATATGTGATATTTTTAGAACTATTGTCACGTGCGTCTCAGCATACGCCCCGTTTTATTATTCGATTTATTTAACTTGAAGTAGTTTTCTTTTTAGGAAATTATGATTGTTAGATAAAGATGGTCTTGATTTTTTTTAAACACCCAATTTACAGACATTTACATTATACACGTTTACAATGGTAACAATTTTGAAACTTGAAATTGGACCAAGTTAATGTCTTTCTCGATATTCTTCTATACTTACCAAGTTTCATAAAGATCGCTTAGAAAAATTTAAATATAGTGTTTATGCAAAAAAACAAAAACTAAATTGTGGATATTTGGTAAACAAAGCGGGCTGAGAAAAACATGCATTTTCTGAGCCATAACACCATTCCTTGGAGTTGGGCGTTTACTAACGGGATATTCTGTATATTAATAGGTTTTAACGTAAAAGAAAGAATCTAAGAGTGCGTTTCTAAGACACACATTATGAAAAACATGCGAGCTCAAAAGTTTTGGGTGAATCTTTTTAATTTTATTAGTCAAAAACACTGATTACTTTGTCTAACTACTAAGCTAATTTAAAAATAATTAATACAATCGATATTCCATCCATACTTGGATAAGGCTAGGATATTAAAAAATGTTTGTTTTACATAAGAAAAATTACATGATTAGAACTAGCTGTTACCTACGGGTTTCATAATAAGTACAGCTGAGGTACTTTTAACATTAGGTATATGGAAAGTTAGTTAGAAAGGAATTACGACCTTAAAGGGCAATTTATGAAATGATGGATAGTTTTGCGCAAGGTTTCTCGTCATGACGAAATTTTAAGTAGGCCTATATGGTTTATGGGGGTGTGATTTTTAGTTTTCTCAAAAGTTCATGGGTACTTTGGGATTTATATATGGATTAGTCGGAGTGTTCTAAAAAATACAACTATGTAATAGATATAAGGGAATGGTCCTTAATTATTTGCGGGAAAATCATAACCAACAAAAAAATGATTTTCATGACTCAGTTTAATGCATCGCATAAGTTATTTGGTTTTATAAAATAAAGTTGAATGTGTAGGACAAAACAGCAATTTTTGTGTTTAGTAACACAAAACTGCAAACACTATTCTCAAGATACAACATTTAGTGAGGTAAACAAATAGGAAATGAAATAAACACATAAACGATGCTTAGGAATAACAAATTCAATTTAATCCTCAACTTAATTCTTAATGTCTAATAAAGAAAACTTTTTCCATTCTTCAACATTTATTTTACACATTTTTATAATTTTCATAGTTTATTACATATCAATTAAATTAAATACGGTATAACTTTTTGTATGGATGGGGAACTAAATAGTAAACAAACACTTTTTGTACACACCCAAGGCTACATAAGGCCTTGACCGTTGGCCATATGGTCTGGACACAGGTTCCACCGTACAAACTATAGCATGTTAATCCAATAAAACTTGAATAAAGTATGAAAAATATTCCCTCATAACTTCTTTTGCTTACTGAATTTCGAAAGAACGAGTGTTTCTAACAGATACAACAATGCTAAACTAATGACGGGGTGACGTGATTTATAGACCACACCATCAACAGCTGACTAGCGGAATTTGTTAACTGATCGTTGCATTTCTAATAAAAAATTATAATATTCTAAACCACCTGTTGAAGGTCAATCATAGTTGCTAAGTGTATCTAATACTGTGGAATTGGGTTGAATTGTTTTAATGATTCTATAATTAGATATAAAATGAGGGCATTGAATTATAGAAATGTACGAACAGTTTTTTTTTGTCCTAGGACGCTAGGCACGAGCCTGGCATTGTTTTTCACATTACTTCAGACTAGACCTAGGGGTTGCGGCATTATCACATTGATAAAATCCATCGGTGAGTTGGTCGAACCCGGAACCTCAGGTACTGAAGTCCCGCGCTCTAACCACTACGCCAGCTCGCTCCCCAATGTACGAACAGTAAATTATATAAAATTTATATATTGGGAAAATTATATAATGTAATAATATTTTTATTTATGTGTAGGTATAAAGGCAATTAACATACTTAGCTATTAACAAAATTAAGTTTACGCCACACTACTCTATTTTGACGAGCTTCCCACGCAAGGATTTAGTCCAGAAAACAGCTGTTTGCCGCCAACTTAATCAAATGGGGTTTCATTGCGTAATACTGTACTGTAATGAGTTTTACCGGACACCAAACAGCTGATTATACTGTATATGGGAGGCAATGAGTGGTTATAAACAAAAAAAATAACCTCTCTTATGACAAGTGATTTTTAGTCCTTTAGTTGGTGGTAATGTATAAGGATTTGAACAGATTTAGTAGAAGGTGTAAACTATCGTACGCCACTCGTCCAAAATGTGTTTACCGGACTCGTATGGTAATCCCGTACTCGACCTTCCGGGAACGACCACACTCGTCCGGTAAACACTTATTTTCAGGACTAGTAACGTAATATACTATTGTGTCACACAAAATAAAATTCTTTTTACTATTTTACAGGATGAAGACGAAGAAAAGCTTCGTAGTAAGTATATTGTAGCATTTTAAGAATTTTGTTGTGTAGTTATTATAGTGTTGCTATACAGCTGGTTAGTAATTGTCTAGATAAGTTTTAAATTTAAATTAGTATTAAGAATAAAGTAGGCATATACTTTTTTGTACCTTACATGTTTTGGAGCATTTTCTTGTAATAGGACTTATTAAAATTTCTTAAATAAATAAATAAAATAAGTAAATAAATAAAAAAAACCTTTATTGATCAAGCGTTTCTCAGTACAACTGTTTTTCAGAACAACTCTTGTCATATTAGGAACAAACTAACTGTAAACATTTACAGGTTAAACGCTATTCCTTAACTTAAGCTATACATTTTTCGATTGAAGTTGTTGATGGAGAGATCAAAAGGGCGAACTATAATTTTAGTAGGCCTATTAGTACCATGTTTAATTTTAAATAATCATTTAACCAACATACACCTTTTCGTTTATCTTTCCTACGTACATTAAACACTTTTGTGGTATACATGTTGGGAGTTTTCGTAGAGCTGACAGAATGGTCACAATATTTAAAACCGCTAGAAAATATCTTAGATTGACAAGCTCAAGCTGTGAGGTAGTGAGTGTCCGGTGAGCGTCCAAATCGGTGTCGGCGGCTGGCGCTTCTCACACGGACACGCCTGACACGGTTGGCACGCCAAAGCTACCTGCTAAGGTGGAAAAACATATGACATAACACACATGTAACGCAGTAAGTGGATATTTCGTAACTAATTGCGAAACAACGTCACGGATATACAAAAAACCGTTTTCTTCCTTTCTTTAACGGAACATATTGTATTTATTAGATAGTTCTGTACTACAAATATATTACTTATCACTAAACTTAACACTTTGTTTAGTTTTAAAAAGAATTTAAGATTTTTGCACCTTATTGTTCACTTTATTTTTAAAGTTCTTAATTCAAGTTGGGAGATGGTCTTCAGTTAAGAGTGCAGGACTTCAGTCCCAAAGGTCTCGGGTTTAAATACGGTTAAATACCGTCAAATCATTACTGCAATGGATTTTATCTAAGTGATAATGCCACAACCCCCATGTATAGCCTTAGCCTGAAATAATGTAAAATAAACGGTATCAGCAGAATTTGACAGACACTTTCTCCCATTAGCTTGTCAACAACCTTTATCATAGGTAAGCGTTGAGAGTAACTAACTATGATATTTAATAGGTAAAATCACATTAGTTGCATTAACCTTTGAACCGTAGTAGTAGTTTACACAATGATCACGCATGGATAGTCTTACCGACACAAGTAGAAAAAATAAGATACGGACCTTGACTTGTGCGTTTAAAACTTCTTCGAGTGTCGCTAAGGCTAATTACGTGAGTTGCGTACATTAAACTACCTAAAACTATTTCTTAATTACCAAAAATCACTATTAATAACTTCCAAGAGAGGTTATGTTTATAGCCTCTCATGACCAATGATTGTGATGCAGCGACTTTTGTTCCAAACACTCACTCATTGTTTAATGAATTAAATTGGTCTCAACAGCTGATAAGTTGACGTTCGAAGTGTTACAATTTTACTTATTTTCTCTAAGAAACTCATTGCTCCGTCTTTCGTGTTGTAAAGTAAAACAACAATGCTGTTAAGTAAGTAATCAATGATGTTCAGTAAATCTTTTCAATTCTAAGAACTGAACTGAAACGGCTATTTAAAAAATCGGTTGTAGTATGTTAGCCTAAATACTAGAAATTCTTCCTTGTAAGCATTCAATGATATATTTATTTTAGAAAAAAGAAACTTCAAATTATTCATTCTTTAGCTCGTGTATTGGTGGGTCCTAAGATAAACTGTTTTGCCAAATGCATTATACTTTGATGGTATAATTGGCCAAAAGATGAGTATATGTGGCAACCATCACAGATACAGATCATATTTTAATTGAACCTTAACTGTCCAGTCATGCGGAAGGCGTTCGCTATGTGTGACACTACCAAGTCCGGCTACATAGAAACAACCAAGATTGCCAGCATTCTCAACACCATCGGTCAAGTGTTTGACGACGAAGAGCTTCAGGAACTCATTGAGGAAGTTGATGTTGACGGTAACTACTAAAGTAATCTAATTACCAGAGATGAAATATACTCCATTGTAGATACACCATGCTTTTGGACTAGCTGAAGACAACGTTGAGATTATTTCCGCCGTTTATATAGATTTTATTTTGTTCTTTGGATCTTGTTATTTTAGTTTATTTAAGTAAACGGAACGATCTCATAAAAATAGCATAAGTAAACCGTAAGGCAAAAATCGTAACACTTACAATAAGATAAAAGAGGTGTACACTTCTGCGCTCTCCATTAAAAACACATAAATCAGACTTAAACTTATAATATACTTATAAACCATATAATGAAGTCTACGCACAATTTTAAAATGTAATATAGTTAGGAAGAACATGAATAACAATTAATTTGTCTTCTGATAATTTAGAAAATGCATTATTAACATTGAACTTCAAACAAACAAAGTATCTTTGAACATTTATAGTAATCATATTTTTGTATCTAGTTTATATGTTAATTTAAAATTGACGAGGGATGTTAATGCCACACTCAACATAACCTTCAGTGACATAACCAAGGGGTCCACTGTTCTTTTAAAATCTATTAACGACTACTTTGAAAGGAACAAACATTATACAACAGCACTTTTGAACCAAAATCACGATTTTATAAAATAACATTACTTATCATTACTAGGTTTTTAACCGTACAAGTTTACATAGTGGATGTTTAATTTTCTACGTTGTCATATTTTGATTTGATTGTTGTGTTCAGAGAGCGGCAGAGTAGACTTTGACGGGTTTTGTCAGATCGTGAGCAACTTCCTAGAAGAGGAGGATGCAGAGGCGATGACAGCAGAACTGAAAGAAGCCTTCAGACTGTACGATAAGGAAGGTAAGTAAGGTGGCACACAACGAGGAAAAAAATTAAAAAAAGGGAAAACGCCAGTTAAATGAAGATTGGGCTGTTTTATTTGAAACAAAAATGTTCCACTACAGTGCGACAAAAACAGCTGATTTCATTATTATTTGTTGTGGGGTTGAAGTAGTCTAAGGTAAAAAAATCAGCTGGAGAACATACCTATTTCCTTCGCAGATTTTACCGAAAGAATTATTCAATAAGAATAAACGTATTGTCCTTAAATACCTTTTTTATTGTTAACGATCGTGTGCTTATTGAATACTAGCTGTACCCGCGGGCTTTGCCCCGTTTTACTTCATAAGTGAGCTCGTTCGCATGGCTCAATCACGTCCTGGTTGAAGTTTGTTCGCTACGCTCACTCACCTTTAGGTTGGAGCTCGTTCGCTGCGCTCACTTGCCTTCAGGATAGCTCGTTCGCTACGCTAACTCGCCTCCGGGTTGAAGTTCGTTCGCTACGCTCACTCACCTTTTGGTTGCAAATTAGCTGTTGTCATAAATTTAAAAAAAGAATAATAGTGCTGAACCCTGTTGGTAATCCTTGTAACTTTAATGCTATTGCACATCATAGAACAGAACCAACTTGTTTAATTGAAACAGCTGTTAAGATACATAAATTCCATTTAAATATGAGTACTCATAAGGTTAACATGGGAAACTCCAGAGCCACTGGGGCGGGGCCCGAGAGCCCGATCAGAATAAAAACCACTTAGTTTTCCTATTTAATGCCTAAAGAATCAGTGTACCAAATTTCAGCCTCCTAGGTAAATGGGAAGTGGGAGAATTAGTGATGAGTGAGTGAGTGAGTGAGTCAGTGAGGGCTTTGCCTTATATATATATAGACTAGCTGTACCCGCGGGCTTTGCCCCGTTTAACTTCTTAATTTTCAAGATGAGCTCGTTCGCATGGCTCAATCACGTCCTGGTTGAAGTGCGTTCGCTACGCTCACTCACCTTTAGGTTGGAGCTCGTTCGCTGCGCTCACTTGCCTTCAGGTTAGCTCGTTCGCTACGCTAACTCGCCTCCAGGTTGAAGTTCGTTCGATACGCTCACTCACCTTTTGGTTGCAAATTAGCTGTTGTCATAAATTAAAAAATAATAATAGTGCTGCACCCTGTTGGCAATCCTTGTAACTTTAAAGCTATTGAACATCATAGAACAGAACCAACTTGTTTAATTGAAACAGCTGATAAGATTCATTAATTCTTTTTAAATATGAAAAATCATAAGGTTAACATGGGAAACTCCAGAGCCACTGGGGCGGAGCCCGAGAGTCCGATCAGATCAAAAACAACTTAGTTTTCTTATTTAATGCCTAAAGAATCGGTGTACCAAATTTCAGCCTCCTAGGTAAATGGGAAGTGGGAGAATTAGTGATGAGTGAGTGAGTGAGTGTGTCAGTGAGGGCTTTGCCTTTTATATATTTAGATTTTACTAAAATAAATTCACGTTAGTCAAAGGTTTGAATAGTTTAATACTCGTAGTTCAGAAAAGTATTCAGAGACTCTTGGAATTTAATTTTGTGTTGGTGGAATAGGCCTAATACCTTTTGTATTTGGTATTTTATAAGTAAGCAATTCAAGATAGTAAGGTGTTTGTGAACAGATTTTTAATTTTAAACAATTGAGGAAATTTTTGGTTTGCTATTTAAACTAGGATTGCTTTCATAGCAGAGAAAGCCAGTTGAGCGAAGCGATCACGTTTCATGGTTTTTAATAAATCAATAAATAGAAACATGTTTATAGATATAATATAATATATAGATATAATTTAAGTTATCAGTTTCGCTCAGAACTATCAACATCTATAACAAGTTTCATAAGTAAAGATGTGGTCATTTCATACATATCCTTTGTATCGGTATTTTTCCAGTGATTGCTCGCTAATTTCATCTGGTAAACCCACAGTTAGTTCATTGACATTTTTTTAAATCTTGGCCAGAACTTGCAATTTAGGCTGAAACAATCCTTCATGGATCCATACGATTAGCAGATGTAACTTTTTAAGACTTTTCTGCTTTGAGAGAATCACACAAATAGCTGTAACTGGGAGTTGTTTTCAAAAATTGTGTACATTTAACATAAATTATTATAAAATTTCGGTGGTGTCTGTCTGTCTGTCTGACGGGGCAGCTGTCATGACCAAAATACTAAACAGATACAGACAAAATTAAGCACAAATATGGTCCAAATATCTTGGAATGTCATAGGCCTATTCACTTTCCTGAGTTCCTCTCAGGATTACCCCTTGGATGTCCAACGTTTTGAGGCGAGGATTTTAAAAGTAATTATTAATTATTATCCATGGAAGAATGAAAAAATTCACAATTTTTACCTTTGCGTTGACATTTAAATGTAAACAATCAGAACATTTAAATGTCTACTAAATGTGAACATATTTTAGACTACTATGAGGTAGGATTATTTAATCTAAAACTTTATGAGGGATGATTTATCATAATATAAATTATTTATTCTAAATATATTTCAGTGATTATGGAACAGGGGTTTCTTTCCGTTGCGAAACACGGGTACAGCAACTAGTTTAAAACAATTATGAAAAGCATTGTTTTCAAGCAAGTGTTCTACATTTAACAATCTCAAATTGTCAGTTCATGCGTTTCGGGTGTTATTGCTCGTCTTCATTTTCTACAAATATCAGGAAGTTTTTAGAATACATTCTGAAATGTTTCTTAATATGACACTCTTATATGTGAATTAGGTATTTTCTTGTAAAACGAAAACGCAAAAATAATTGATCCTTCTAGGGCAATAATATATCCCAAGGTGTTGCAAACACAACGATCAATACAACAATTGTGTTGCCAACATGATGATATAATACAAATTATTTCAAAGTGAATAATAAGAAAGCGTGTTCATAATAGCCTTTTTAGATTAAAATATAGATTTTAGAATACCTAGTTATTTCATACTGCAGAATAATGTACTGTAGTTGTTTTAATTCACAATGACAAAAGAAAAGTTTTTTGTTATAACCTCTTTTAGCTACGTAAATCAAATCTGTAAAATACTGTACCTTTTCGATCAGTGGTCTTTTCCAAATTGCGACCTAAGCGTAAACTTTAAACTTTGTCGGTATTATTTGATCAGTGGTCATCATCCGGATTGTTTCCTTTGTATCGTGTTTATGTCGTGGCTTGATTTAAACATATGCCATGATTCTTTGTTTTGTTTACATTTACGTCGTTATTTTGTAACCATCATGGCAACCCACAAGAACAATGTTTAAATTTAAAAGCTTTGAGTTACTTTTAAATTATATTGGCATTATCAAAAATTTAAATTGTTTTTTTCTAAACCTTTCAAACAATTAACAAAACAACCATGGTAAGTTTTACTTTAATATGTTCAGCCGTTGTTGACTTAATGTGTTAGAAAGTTTGCATTGAAGTTGATACCAAAGAGCTTCGTTTCGCTCCACTCAATTATTGTGTGGGATGAATGACAAAGGCCAAAATGCATTGACCATACATTATTACTGATCTACTGTTACACATAAATAAACCAGGTTATAATATATTAATCCTAAATGTATATATACATAAAGTAACTTGTTATTTATGTTTAGGTAACGGATACATAACCACAGCTGTACTAAGGGAGATTTTAGCAGCGCTAGATGACGCTCTCAAACCAGAGGACTTGGACGGGATCATCGCTGAGATAGATACTGACGGTTCTGGCACCGTGGACTTTGATGGTGAATATTTATTTTGATAATAATACTCCTTATTGGTATATAAAAATAGCTAAAACATCACTTATTTTAGTTTTAACTAGCTGTGTACCCGATCTACGCACGGGTATCTTATAGTAGTCAGTTGAAACCTTCTTATTTTAAGAACAGCAGTTGATTTGCATATTTTCAGATATGCTGGCAAAACTATTATATATAAACCTTCACAAATACAGTATCTGACAGTTTCAAGCCAAAGCAAATGCTTCGCAATTAAATGTCACCCGGATCGTGTTGGTCCATATTTTAAAACCAATGATTAAATTAAAAAAGCTTTATAGGCCTAGATCTATGAAGCATAGCCCTAAGGTAGGCCTATAGTTGAAAATTACTATCTACAATGGGTAAAACTATTTACATTACCACCTCAACCTCACCATTTAAACTTTATTCGGGTTAACATTTTCATTATCAAAGGTGCTCTTGTACTTTTCGTGACACTGAGAACGTGATCACTCGTCCCCGAGGTGCAATCTTTCATTGGTAGAAAATAATGGACAGAGTGCCTTTTGGCCATTTTTACATTTCGTTGAAATCAAGCTATTGTTTGTCTATTTCGTATTTACGAATATTGTTCTGCATTTATTAGTTTCTTCCCTTATAGAGTATGGATCAAGTATAAATTAACAATTTACATTATATTTTATTGTTATGGAATTTACAGTTGTATGACGTTAATACGTGTTTATCGAAAAGTCGACAATTTATTATTCCTCTATGTTTCCAGTTTCGATTTTCTTAATTTTGTTACTGTTATAGTACAAATAAAAGTTAAAAAAATCTTTTCTTTATTCATAATTTGTGATTCATTAAGAGGAAGTAGCTTAGTGGCTGTATTTGCAATGAATTTCAAATCACTTCTCTAAGAAATTAAAAATGTAGAAAAGGCCCTTCGCTTTAATATAATAAACCAAGTGATTGTAAGAGAAAATGATCATGTAACACCAATGATTTATTTTACCATAAGGAAGTGTATGACCCTAACAGAGCTAAAATATCTTGAGCTCATAAGAGGCTGAGACATAATTAATACGTAAACATTTTAGGGTGTTTGATGTCGGTAACAGCTGATAACTGATTATGTTGCAGAGTTCATGGAGATGATGACTGGAGAGTAATTGATGTCATCTCCTCATCGCTCATCATCTTCAGGTGATCAATCAAACCTGACACATCGTGGTCGCTCACTATCTACCGCTGGACATTACAGTGTCAATCCAAATACAACGTGCTACTTATAAGTCCACTTGTACTTTAGTATTTACCTAAATTTACTTCCCTGAAGAAAGTTTTTCGGTATGGTGATCAAATAATTTTAAGTGCAATGGAAAATATGCCACTGAAGATAAGTAGTCATACTCATAATTGATTACCATATCATTACGCAGTTCCTAAAATTGTCAACATCACTGGTCAATATATAAAATCATGTTTACAAATTTATAATAATTGACTTTTGGATATTGAAGTAGACATCCCAATCTTATGGACCAATTGTAGCCAATTCTTTTATTAAAAATAAAAGAACTCTGTGAGAAGGTCATAAATTGCACTGGTGTCTAAAATTTCATTTTCTACATTGTTTTTTTTACTAAGATTGTTGATATGACATACACGATGCCAAAGCTTACAATAAATAAGTCATCATATCAGTTTGATTTGGTTAAATAGTCTCAATATTTGACAGCATTCAGTAATTTACATCAGCGCAATCTGTCGTTGGCTCACTTCAACTACGTCCATTATTTGACTTAAACACTGGGAACAACCATATAACATTGGGATAAATTGTCTAGCTCTATCAATAGTTGTCAAAGGTTCTATTTTATGTATGAAACCAGGTGATTGTAACAGCAAAATTAATAGATTTCATAATAAATCAAATAAATTGTGGATATTATGGGGTCCTTAATTAATCTATGGAAAAATATTAAGTAGTTTCATATCAATGCACTACTAACCTTAGTCTTCCTAGGGAATCCCTGGATGAAAAATTTAAATTGCGAAATGCTTTTGACAATTAGCTTTGAAGGTTCAGCTGATTTGGAAAGAAGATATTTAATGATAAAAATGAGCATACAGACACTTTATTTTCAAATAATAGTGTAGTGAGAAAATAATGAAACCAACAAACTACCTTTAACAAATCATTCATAGTAACTAGCCAAATATGTAAATCTGAAGATATGATAAATTCATTTTTTTATTTGTCATAAATCAACACATTATGGAGCAATACATCTGAAGACTTCATAATTATTTTGGTTAGTTATGAGTCAATGAATTAGAAATACTGGATAATATCAGGAGAATCCCGTTGTTTGTGATATTTGAGGTGTCTGCACCTACAAGAAAATATGAAGAGCTTCTGGAAATAGAAGTGAACACCAGTCAGCCAACATGTATATCTAATTCTGGAAAACAAACACCAAAAACAGCGGGGCACTTGGATATACCTGCCAAATAGCTACAAGTGTGTTCAGACCACTTGCCAGCTGAACCTAGTCACAAACAAACAGTAAAAACTGACGTCCAATAAACTTGGTATGCCAGACTTTCAATTATTGCAATTCTATAGCTCCAGCATTTATTTATTTAGTTAATAATGCAAGATAACACTATTTTTTGTTTCCTTGAAATCGTATAAGACTTTTGGGTAGGTAAGTAGTAATAATGCTCGTCTAACATGCCGCAGGTCACCGGTTCGATTCTGAGAAAATTCAGAATATTTGATCGTTCGAAACTGGAACCCTCTGTCCCTGAATAACAGCTGATCTTATTCTGTAACAAAGCTTCACAGACAATGTCACCCATTTTACATTACACATGCATGCATTTCTATTTATTTTGCTACTCATCGTCTATATATTTGATACTATAAGGGGTTTTGTGGTGCATCTCTTTTTCAACCGTCCTACTTAACAGATTTTTACGATTGAGGTGTCATTTTAAAGTTTATAATCCAGGGAAGGGATAAATTGGAACTAAAAAGGTAATTTATTTTAAGGATTCTCGCCCTATAGTTTAATCCATCGTTATCACTCTTTATCGTTGAAATAGCTCTTTATGGGGTGAATAAACGCAGCAAATTTAATTTATTGTAATTAGCAGTTTATTTACAAAAAATGATTGTCACAAACAAAGACAATCTTTGACAAGTAAAAGGGTATTGAATTTTTCGTTTTTCTCAGACAAGAAAAAGACTAAAATACGTAGTTTGCGCACAAGTAACCTCATTCATCTTAAAATACGTATAATAAATGAGTCGCTGTCTTGGTAAAGAGATCCAGTGATTACGACTGGTTACTGTAAATAGCTTTTAGTTAACTTTTTCTCTTGTTTAGACAAGTTCTAAAGTATAATTAACATTTCATTCAACACACTTTTTACTTGTGTATTACTGCTGCTTAAGTCCAAACATAGCTCAGTATCATATAAACGGATTTATAAACATAACCTTCACACAGTATAAACAGAGGAAAAAGTTAACGATAAGCGAATGGCATGAAATGATTGGATTCAACACGGCTCTTGCATTATTCATAACCTGTAAACTTATAAGAAAATGGGTTTCGTGCCTGTGTGAGCTCACGCCACACAATAAACATCAATACGACTTGAAGCCGCTATTAAAATAATTGGGTCTTAGAATTTTCTTAGTAACAAGATATGAATTAGTTGTAGTGTTAAACCTTAAATAAAGTGGTTAGAGTGAATAACGTAATTGATTTTGATTGGATTTATGGACTGAACATGTCAAAATTATTAATCGGCACTGAAACTGTGTTTTAAAATAGTTTTGTAAAAGTTTAAAAACTATTGTGAGTTTCTTTTCTTCAAAACTTGAAGAATATTTAATATTGAAAATTAAGAGTGTGATTGTGCTGAAAACACCTTTACGACGTCGTGAATTACGTGCTGGTGATTATGATGTAAAATATACCCATGCACTGTGGATGCGATACTCCCTGGTGTGGATTAACGTACGCACTAGTGAGTACTATCCTGATAGTTAGACCAATTCGTTAATACTAAGGCAAAAATGTGGTTCGGATTCTATTATACGCTGTAGGTCCTTTAGTTGCCATTAGACGTATGGGCTATTAATTAACAGCTGTGTCTAAGGAATATGTCGGCCTTAGTCACTAACACGACTACAAGATCGTGCCACTCATCCTACACTCATCTCCATTCATACTTGGCTTAAAATACCTACCTTTATATGGTTACCATTTCTTAGAAAAAGTATTTAAATAATCGTTTTGATTAATACGATTTAGAAAACAAAATCATTTTAGCGGTACATTAGAAATTGAATATTACAATTTGGGAATGGATTTACATACAATTTGGAATTTAAATCTGTTTGAAAACCATCACAATTTCAAAAAGGGGTTGAATCAAAATCTTTTACCATCCAAATTTTTGGACACGCAATCGATTTCAAAGTAAATGTTGACTGATTTTTGTGTCAACCTTTGGGACCCAAAGGTGAGTTCTCTAACCACATGATCTGCATGACAAGTAAAAAGTGCTTACCACAATTAATACCTTCTGTTAATATATATCCAGTTTAAAAAGTAAATTGTAATAATTACACCTTGTATGTTTAACATTTTAGAACACAAATTTACCTTGCTAGAATTGTGACAACAATTAACTGGAACCACGGATGTTGATCACAAAGGATCATGTACATTGTTTACCTTAATCGGATATTGGCTGTGTGTTTCACATGATCAGATTTGTTGGCCGGAAGAGATTAGATTACAATATGAGATCCAATAACTGTCGCGGTATTGTAGGTTAGTTAGTTGAATCAACATGATTGGTGTCAAAGTTGGACAGACTCTGTGACCAGATTATGTGTCACGCGACACAAAAGAGGATATTTGAAAATTCGTTATGTCCTGCTTCACATACTAGGACGTTAGGTTCTAGCCCGGAACTGTTTTACAAACTTCTTCAGAGTCCTAGAGGGTTGCGGCATCATCACATGGATAAAATCCATTGGTGATTGGCGGGATTTGAACCCGAAATCTCGGGCTCCGAAGTCCCATCTCTACCACTAGCTTGGGTCCCCATAAAAAATATGATGGAATAACATAGACAGTGTGTGGTTGTATTTATTATATATAATTTATAGATACTTAAATCTTAGTGTATGCTACACCATCTTAATTTATTTAAACGGATTATGTTTGTTTATATAGAGATAGAGACAGGGAATGGATATAGTTTTTAATCTAAAACTAAGATATTTCTAACAATTTGGAGGAAATCATTGGAGCCGTTTTTGAAATCTTTGTGCGCAAACGTTACTCACATTATAGTATAGATATGATGTATTGCATGCATCGGGTGAAAAGTATCACCCAAAAACATTTTAGAAAAGGTACACTTCATAGAAGAGCCATTGTTAGGTTAGATTAGGATGTTAGGTTAGGTTGGATCAAATTAGTTAGTACAAGGTGTTGTTTCGTACTAGGGGAACTGAATTAATTATGTTATAGCTTATATTATTATCATTGTCAATTGAGATGGGGACGCCACCTAAGTGGGCATTTTAACCCAAATATGAGTGAAGGATATGAGTGGAATGAATGGTGTGAGATGATTTGTGTAGCTTTGATACTGACTAAGATCAGCTGATTCATCAGTCACGATCATTTATTTGAAGCACTAATGACCAGGAACTGCTTGGTTTAGTTTCGAACTATAACAATTACTGATTTTTTCAGGATCAAACCGGCGACCCTTTGAATGTTTGGTGAACACTTGAACCACTTATTTACACAGACTAAAATACAGTATAACCTTATATAATATGTAATTTGACAGTTTGCAAATTTTACTACCATACTGTAATCGTTCTCAGTGCTTTTGTCAATGTTATCAAGTTATAACTTCTAGAAACTGTCATATGCCATCTTGGAGATTTTAATTGAAATTGTAAAATTGTGTATTTTCGTTAACATACTGTATATGCGCGTTGACTAATTTCTCGCTTAAATATCTCACTTCAGTTCAGTCGGGTCAGCCGATCCGATAAGACGTACTGCTCCGCTACCGTATCGCAAGCTCACGTCGCGCTACTACTTCACGTGTGTGGCGTGTTTGTCTAAACGGCCTTGTGTAGTTAAAAAAGTGCTTTTTACGTACATAAATTAAAATGCCAGCTACCTGTGGCGTTTGCAACGTGGACATTGGCAGCTGCAAGTCTACTGAAGTGATAAGTTGTGCCGGTAATTGCAAAAAATCGTTTCATGTAAACTGTGTGAAAGAAGATATAGAAGAGAAGAAGGTTCGTACAGCAAAGCAATGGAGGTGTAGGGAGTGCCGAGAAGGCAGTGTAAGTTCCGGCTCAAGTACGCCGATAACAAAGGAATTTTTGCTTAAAGTTTTGGACAGTTTAAAAAAAGAACTTTTTACTGAGTTAAAAAACGTAAAAAAAGAAGTTTCCGAAATGTCGCAATCCCTGAATTTTCTTTCAGAAAAAGTGGACGAATCTACCAAATTAATGGAAAATTTAAGATCGGAAGTGCAAGTTCTGAAAAAAGAAAATGAGGTTTTGCGAGAAACAGTCACCGACCTACAAGACCGGACTCGATCACTGGAACAATATACCCGACGCAGCAACATCGAGATTAGCGGTATCCCAGTCACCCCCAGGGAGGATGTCATCCAGTTGGTGAAGGACGTAGGTGCAGTCATCGGCCTGGAGGTGGAGGAGTCCCAGATCAACGCAGCACACCGAGTACCCAGCTTCCGCAAAGACCGGGTCCCTTCCCTCGTGGTCCAGTTCATCGGCAGATCCACTAGAGACACGTGGTTGAAACAATTCAGGGAGCTCAAGGAATCTGTGACTGTGGACCAGGTAAACTCGTCTTTCCCAAAAGCGAAACTGTACATTAATGAGCACTTGTCTCCAGCTAATAAGGTGTTTTTGTCTGACTTGAAAAAGAAATGTGCTGAAGTAGGCATCAAATACGCGTGGTGCCGTGAGGGAAAATTCTTTATCAGGAAGGCTGATAAGGATAAGTGTCGCAGGATTTACAGTGAGGCTGACATCAAAAAGCTCAAATAAACCATCGTCAAAAGCAATGGATACATACTGTCCTATATTGAGATCATTAATTGCTTCCAGGGATTTCACTTTCCTTATTTACATATTTAGTTTTAGTTCCATTTTTGAATAGATTTTAAATGTACATATCGTAATTTGTATGGTAGAGAATAGTGATTATTTACTATCCTTAAACAGCAATTTTTTTGAATTAGATGATGTCAACTCAAATAATGTATTCACCTTAATATATTGCAACATTAGAAGCTTACGACAAAACTTTAATAATTTTTTAATAGAATTTTCTCAATTAGAACAAGATATTACCTTTATTGTATTAAGTGAAGTTTGGATTAACACCGATGAGTTAAATTTATTCAATATTCCAAATTACAACATTTTTGCACGTTGTAATGACTCCTACAGATCAGGTGGTGTCATATGTTACGCTTTAAAGGATATATGTGTCACAGAAGCAAATGTAAACAGTATGAGGACTGCTGACACGCTCCTCTTAAATATAAAAATTAGTAAACATTATTTTAAACTATTTTGTATATATAGACTGCAAGAGTTTACTGAGAAGGATTTTGTAAACGAACTAGAATCTTATATGAATTATTTTACTACAAATACAATTTTGCTGGGAGACGTTAATATCGACCTGTTAGATGGAAAAATAAATTCTAAAAACTATCAGTACCTTTTAGAGAACAATGGGTTTTTATCAATAGTTAAGAATGCTACTAGAATCACAACAAATTCTAAAACACTAATCGACCATATTTTTATTAAACATAGGCAAGTAAATAGCTTTAAGCAAGCAATATTTGATTTGAATATAACAGATCATTGTTTATTGGGTCTTAAATTTAATGACATTTCTTTAGACCAAGACAAAAAAAAAGTATTTTGCGAGAAGCAGACTATAGATTTTGATAAGGTTATTGGTTGTTTAAAGTCTATTAGTTGGGACGAAGTTTTTAATGAAAAAAATATTGATTTATGTTATGAGAAGTTTAATTTAATTTTAACTGACGTTGTAAATAAGTGTTCTAAAACCATTTCAATAGATAAGAGTCTTGCTAAGGCCAAACTACTAAGTCCTTGGATGACGACAAGTCTCTTAAAAAAAATACGTAGAAGAAAAAAACTGTACGTGTTAACCAAAAAAAGGCCATATGATTTAGTTTTAAGGAATCACTATAAAATGTTCTACAATAATTTAAAACTCGAAATGGATAATGTCAAAAAATTGTATTATTCAAATCATATTCGAAATGCTGATGGTGACCCCGCTAGACAGTGGAGGGTCATAAATAGCCTAACTGGTGAAACCCGTAATCAGTGTTTTGATAAGGTTGAGCTTGAGGATGGAACTATTGACAGTGACTCACAAAGTGTAGCAGATAGAGTTAATCATTATCTGATGAACATTGTGCAACCTGATAACGATACACCTTCACTGGCCGACCTGGGTCTACATCAGCGTTGCCAATCTTTTTTCATTGTGCCAACCACTGAAAACGAAATTATAGGTGTCATTAATGGTTTTAAAAATAAAAAATCTTCGGGTTTCGATAATTTTAATGCATTATTAGTAAAAAAAATAGCTCAATACATTGCACCTGTTTTAACCTATATTTTTAATAAAAGTTTTAGTGAAGGTATTTTTCCTACTAAGTTAAAGTTAAGTGTCGTAATACCAATTTTCAAGAAGCCAAACTTAATAAAATTGAACAACATAAGACCAATCAGTCTACTTTCATCTTTTTCTAAGATATTGGAGAAGCTAATGGTTAACAGACTAGTAAAGTATTTCAATCAAATAATTTTTTTTTCTCAATGGCAGTTTGGGTTTCAGCGAGGAAAATCTACAGAAGATGCTCTGTTGAATTTTACAAATTTAATATATTCAAGTTTTAACAATGGCAACAAAACGACAGGTCTCTTTGTTGACTTTATGAAGGCCTTTGACCTGGTTAACCATAATATCTTACTATTTAAGCTTGAGGCAGCTGGTATCAGAGGTGTGGCGCTCAATTGGTTCCGCAGCTTCCTGACTGGCAGAGAACAGCAGGTACGGGTAGGTGACTGCCTCAGCAGACCACTGCCCGTAACTGTAGGTGTGCCGCAGGGCTCGGTTACCTCAGCAATTTTATTCCTTGTTTTTATTAACGATTTGCTTGACAAGAATTTTAAAGGTCAAATCCAAGCTTTTGCCGATGATATTGGTTTTCTTTATTCTAATAAGGATAAGGAAGTTTTAAAAATGAATTTAATGTTTGATTTAGACATACTCCAAGATTGGTGCTTAAAAAACAAAATGAAAGTTAATGTTAGTAAAACAAAGTTTATAAATTTTGGCTACAGAGAATTTTCTTTTTCATCTCCTATTTTGTATCACATACAAGGCTGCCAACGTGTAGATTGCCAATGTGAGGAAATTGAGAAAGTTAAATCATTTAAATACCTTGGGATACACTTTGATGAAAAATTTACGTGGGAAAAACACATTCAAATTCTGCATGCAAATGTCAAAAGATCAATTAGAAAATTTTATTTCTTAAAACATTTTTGTGAAGAACATTTATTGAAAACACTTTATTACGCACTAATACATTCACGTTTGCAATATGGATTAATATGCTGGGGAGGTACTTTCAAAAGTTTCATCAATCGTTTAAGAACAACTCAAAATCATTTTTTAAGAATCATTTTTAATAAACAGTTGAGAGAAAGCTCATTTCCGTTATACTTTCAATCAAAAATAATGCCGATTCAGAATCTTTTTATATTTAAAGTATTAAAATTGTTTTATCTTAAAAGTGGGAACAATGGAACTGATAACCTATATTACAATACCAGAAGTGTAGATAATTTGTTTTACAGGACCCCTAAAGTCAACAAAGAACTGTTCAAGCATTCGTATCTATTTTTGGGGCCTTTTGTTTTTAATATGTTGCCAATTGATATAAAAAGAAGTAACAATGTTAATAGTTTTTGTAAAAGGTTGAAAGAATGGTTATGTAATATAAATGATACTTCGTTGCTTCGTAATGTTTTAGAATAAAATCTATGTTTTTCACATCGTTAAATTGTAGTACGTTTTTTATATATTTTGTGTTCATTATTTACATTTCAGGCAGTCAGATATGTATATTTTAATTTTTAGAAGTAGACTTAATTTCAATATGTAACGCTACAGGTAGCAGCAGGAGTGATAATTTTAGTAATGGATTGATAAGACTGAACTCTTCATTTCATGTATAGATTAGATAAGTTTTGTGTACACTGGCCACAATTACTGGACAAAGTGGCCAGTTAATTTCCGAATTGTTTTATGATTTGATGATTGTTTGTTTTTGAGGAAATAAAATTCATTATTCATTATTCATTATTCATCATTATTCATATGTACGACTTAGCACCTAAGAGGGCTGTAAAGATATAATTATTTTTAAATAAAGCGTAAAATACACTCAAGTGGGGTGGATACATCTTCGATTGTCGCGGGTAGCTCTTCTATTTGCCAAGCCATATTTGCACATAGTTTGCTAATTAATTTGTAATATTCAAATTTCAATTATTATCTAAAAATATCTATCGTATACTGCGGGAAGCGTCGGTATAAACCACAGTAATGACGTCACTGACGTGATGGGATACGAGTAGTGCACACAGGTAGCGGTTTAGATTCCCCTTAGGCGTGGAAGCGTAAAATGGGTATTAACTGGTGGTATCAACAAGAATTGTGTGCACAAGTAACCAATTTGGTAGGATATTAAACTATTTCTCCTTCCCTACCCCCAATTTGACGGTTTAAGTTAGAGTTTTGGCTTCTAATAACCAAATTGGTTATAGTTATTTTTATGTGTGCTACAAGGCTTATAAGATGATTCATGAATCTTAGTTAATTCTGAAAACAATAAACTAAAGGTTTTTACACTAATTAAATCCTATATTATAAGGAATATTTTTGTGATGAATACACTAGAAAGATAAGCATTAGAGTGATAATTTCCATAAACCAAAATAATGCTGAAGATATAAATTTTAGCAACAAGGAAACCGTGAAAAAACTTCACTCCTGAAGGCAACTGAATATGTTTTTCGTATTTAATTGGATGATTCTTACAGAACAGAGATGTTCTGTTCTGGTTAATGGTTTATAATGTAACATTAAACTGAAAAAGATAAAAAATATGTATTACTTGTGACGAATCTTCAATTTACCTTTAAGTTACATAAAAGTATTCGTTCTGCTATTTTTTGCTATTAGTGGCACAAAATATCTCAGCCATAATTGTACAAAATATTGCATGCTAAGGCATAGTTTGAATAATACTACTTGTTTGTAGGTCTTGAAAAAGCACATGTAAAACAAAAAACCAAACGCTTTTCTAAAAAAAAAAAATTAACACTCACACAAAGAGTTACAGCAGTACTTATAAAATATGTTTTAATATTAATTGTGATAAAGCAATGCTTCTCTCAATAAAGAAATTTGCTGCAAATCTCACTCATCTAGGACTTAATCTATTTAATCTGTAATTACAGCAAATACCATGCAATTTGTCATGCCTGTATGAAGTAACAGCTCTTGTTACGTTGTTACGGTACTTGATGACCTTGTTAGATTACGGCTAGCACGGAGGCACACACTCTAAAGAATTACTTGTGGACACGCATTATTCTTGGTGCCATGATATTTATGTTGATTTAAAATAAAATACTATGGTTACAGTACAACAGTCTTACACTATAGAAGGAACATCATTCAAAATCTTATTAAAAATGTAGTGTACTAAAAATGTGTATCATAGGCATTTCCACCACCAACAAGGGGGCTTGACTACCTAATGGGAGAGGGTATATGTAAAATTGCTGATGATGTATATTTTACTCGTCTAAAAAGCCCAGAATTGTTTTTAAGTTAGCCTAGGGGTTGCTAGCAGTTAGATAAACCTACACTAACATCTTCACCAATGCCATCGGTGATTGGCAGGTCTTGAACACTG